GGGTATAGGGGATCCATTGGACTGGGATGTAAAGATGGGACGCCAGATGTTGCTGATGTGGAAACCGACGTCTTGTGGTACTGCGCTGTTCTTGATGATCTTGATGGCTTCTCTGATGTGACACAAGTACAGTGCTTGATGCTGGTGAGGAATTCAACTTTGTTCCACTTGATCTTGTGGTCTTCGGTGTGGGAATGCTTGATGATGGCAGACTTGTCATATTCCTCTTTCCTGCCATGGGCTTTGTATTCACTGAGTCATTGCACATCACTGCACAAGCCTGGAGTGTACAAGATCCCCTGCCAATGTGGCAAAGTGTACATCGGTGAGACCAGAAGGGACCTCCCTACCACACTAAACCCAAAGCCCATGACAGGACTGACCTTCCTCACTGGTTTGCCAGCACCCCCTTGACCTCAGTTGGATCCGGAGTTACATCATCTCCACACCTCACTGCCCTCTACACACCATATACACTGCCTCATCACTGGACCCTATGCAGTCTCCTGACGATGGACAGAGCATACTGTCTAAAACATCCCACCGGTTCTTTTCAGAATCCCACATCCTCAAAAAAGAAATATCCATGGTGCTACCGCAAACCTATATACAAGTAGTTAAAAATCTTTGTTCTTATTTGTACCTTATCTTAATATATCAATGCTGGTTTTACTTCAGATTTCAAAAATTATGAAATTGGAAATTGAATAGAGGAGCTACAGCATTCAAAAAAGGCAAATTTTAATCACATCCCATTTTAAGAAAATGAGTTTCCAAACAAGCAGCGCCCTCGTTCATTTATTCATGTCCCTGCTTATGATGCAGAATGACGTTATTCAAAAAAGGCAAATCAACTCAGGATGGGGTACAATACATTGTACAAGGTTCAAGATTGTGCTTAACATGGACCCATTCCCCTGTACCGGCGGCCCGTGGGCTAAAATAACGGCATGTTTTATTGTTAGGGCCAGCGTGCCTAACATTAGTTAAAAAAAAAAGCTTAGCCCATGGAGGCACGAGGGGGTCCATTCAACTCCTGCAATGAGTGACAAACTTCAAAGCTTCAATAAGCTTATCACTAAAGTGAAAGGTACAACTTACAACTATAAAACACATTACCTGAGAAATTTTACTCGACATCCTTTCCCAGGAATAAATCATTAACAAATTTTAACCGATGTCAAAATGCAAGGTAGCCTAGTCTTCACACGAAAGACCCCACTCTGCCACTCCATGCACGCGTTTCCGGCCGGCGCGTCGCGAGACTGAAAAAAGCAACCACTTGGCGGCGCTGTTCAGTTTGACCACAAGAAAACATGGCGACTCCTTGGCCGATGCAGGTAAGGGTTTGACTAAGTAACATGACTGATTTGCATTCATTCCAGCCCGCATTAATTTTTTAATAGAACTTTTAACGTTCACTAAAGCAATAACGTGTAATGAGGTGCAAAACGAGTAAATACTAAAATGCTAGTGGAGGAAGGAATAGACTAAAGTTAGTGGTTTGGCCAACATGCAAAAAGGTCAATACGTGGCGCACCTTGATTTTTCGCCTAGGCAGTGCTAAGCCATGTTACTCAAAACATTTTAAGTATCCAGAAACACTGTGCATGTTCAGTTGTCATGTCTAGTGCCACAGCAACTGCAAAAACATACATCGTAGATGTACATGTAGGAATGTAGCTGTCCAGTATCCATTGCCTATCTGGAAAAGGTCTATATCTGGCCACCACTTATCTTCTTTACTGTGACTTGAAACTACCAAAAAGTATAAATGTGCTTAAGAAACTCTAGTTTTTGAATGAAAGAAATTTACACTTTTCCTTGTTTATACATGTACATCTGTACTTGGTCATTTTCTTTGGTGACCCATACCCTTTGTGCACAAGGACTCAGTTGGAGCCAGATATGGTATTATCTTTGCTTAACAGCAAGTTTTTCACAATTTTTATTTCATTTTAAATGTGGCATTGATGAGGGATCAAGGTCGCTGGGAACTGTGGTAAACATGTACATGTAGGCATACACGTATACCATCTTTGGTCAGGATCGAAGATGACGTCAATGTGAAAAGGTTGTATCAAGTTCCATCATATTTTCAAGGTGTTCTGAAGTCAATCAGTTGAATCCATGTAAGGAGGTAACTCACTGTTCATAAAGTCAGGACTTATCACAGGTCTTGCTCGGGACTTTTCGAGTGAAATGACATTGATCTACTCTAGACTTGAAAATGTTGAAAATCACCTGTCGGTTTGCCATCATAAAATGAAGGACTGTAAATACCGTAATGAATGAATTTGTGTGACAACTTCCAGATACAGTAGTTCACGATCCTTACAGGAAAGCCGTTTCCTATAAGCCGTTGGTTGGGAGTGATATCCTCCTGGAGAATCATATCAAGAAAAGATGGTTGGTAACTAAATATGTCTTAATCTTTCGTACTTTTCTTTCATTTATAGAAACGACTTCAGAATGAACTTCTTCAGCTTCAGCGAGACCCACCTGTAGGTATTAGTATCAATCCCAGCAGTGCATCCAGTACACTAGCCTCGTAAGTACTCGGAATGTGTGGACTTGATATGGTTTAAAGTAAAAGCATCTTCATACTTGATGTGCATGTAATAGCAAGTTGGTAACTTAAGTACCAGTTTTTGTGCAGAGAATATCATGTTCACGTGACGTCACATGAACATGTACAATGTACGTGATGTCAAATTTCCATTTGTACTTTCTTTCATCCTGAGTGTTTACTTGCCCACAAAGGGTTTTACAGTACATGTACATTTAATCAATCCAAATGCTGCATTCACAGTGATCCATTTAAATTTTATTGTAGGTTTTCAGGCAGACTTCACATACAGTGTAGGTACATTTATGCTGCCAGTTCATCCCATTCTGCACTTTGCAGAAACTGTTTTTGATTCATGTACCAAAGAGTTTAGCATTGCAACAACAAAATGACCATCCCTTATTAAAACACCTGATTGAAAGTCACTTGTAGGAAGTGACTTTCACTGTATGCATTCCATCACATTGACAATCCAACCTTGATTCATATGCTTGTGATCCTAGATGGAGTGTAAATGTTACTGGGGCCCCTGGCTCTCTGTATGATGGAGAACATTTTCAACTGCAGTTTACTTTTGGAAAGAGATACCCTTTTGAATCCCCAGAGGTAAGCAAGTCCAGTATTTAAGCTGTTTATTATGGTGTTATGTACCATTTGCCAGAATTCCTTCCAAAAGCAGACTTGGGAAGTGGACCACTCCTATTACAGTATACCCAACATGATATTTGCAACTTGGTAGAGGGTACAATGGAGGATGGTTAGGATTATCAATGAATACCTTCCAAAGGTCAACCAGTGCATTTAATTAGTAATGTCAGACTTGCACTTGCCACATTGTAACTCTTTCAGTTTCTTATGTATTAGTTTTACATGTTATTTGCCTGTGGGTACATGTACTTTCAGCAGTTTTTTTCCTTATTACCGTAACTACCCCAAACCTGCCATACGCCAACAGCAGGTTTTGTGAGGTCTGGTATTATACCTGATGAATTTTGTTGCACTTGGTATCAAAGGCCCAGGGTGATAGTGTGGGATTCTGTGTGAGTTGGGACACACAGGGTTCATTGTGTGCAGTGTCTGGCTTGCTGTACCAATTGTTGGACTATGCTTGATTTTGTCAGGTTTGGTACTGTTCAGTGCAAGTCATCCTTTACTGCATAGACCCATCCATACCAAATCACTCAAACTCCAACGGGCTCATTCTCTAAGAGTCTATCAGGTTTGGTACAGTGACTTGCATGTACAAGGACATAGACAAGAACATGTATGCCTTCAAGTGCAAGAGCCCAGGGGGTTAGGGCTAATGTAGAAATCAATGTCGTCAGTGTTCACTTAAAACAGAAACATACTATTTGATGCACAACCACAAATGACAAGCGTTATTGTTCCCAGTGGCATTCTCCCAAAACGGAGATACTGCCTGTTGTGGTGTATTCATTGCTTTGTCTTTGATGTAAGACCGGTTTATGTCCTACATTCAAAAATAAACGAGAGTCAATCAAATGGGATTTGATTTGCACTAATGTCACAGAGAAAAACACAATGTGTATGTGAAACGTGTGTCTTTTCCCTCATAGGTCATTTTTATTGGTAAAAACATACCAGTGCATCCGCATGTTTACAGCAATGGCCACATTTGCCTGTCAATACTGACTGAAGACTGGTCGCCTGCACTGTCAGTTCAGGCCGTCTGTCTAAGCATAGTCAGTATGCTAAGTAGCTGCACTGAGAAGGTAATTGGCTTCATTCGTATCTCTCTTCCCCTGAGCTCCCCTCCTGTGAAAGTACCTTAAGTTTCTATAATGTAATTGAAAGTTAACTATGTTGTTTGATTTTAAGTTGCACTTCAAATATGTCAAATCCCTTCAATTTGTTTCCTTATTTGCCTCTTTCTTAGAAGCGACCACCAGATAATACATTCTACGTAAAAACATGCAGTAAGAGCCCTAAGAAAACCAAATGGTGGTATCATGGTAAGTAATACTGATTTGAAGAGGATTTAAGCCACGTAATCAGTGAAGTCAAGATATATCAAACACATCTGTAAGTTTCATGAAATCCCTCATAAGACCACTTTGTCCATCAAGTCAAGGTATTTTCCAGAAGACACTGCTTAACGTTGGATGAAATTATCTGCAGCTCTGTAGGTATTTGCATGAAAAGCTAGTTGCAAGCAGTCAATAGCAAACATACACCTGTTAGAACTCTTTTAACCCAACGTTTCTTTATTTCATGGAACTGGAAGTGTATGCACTGTATATGTATACATGTACAAGAGGCTGCTAGAGGTTTCTTGAATGATGTAACTCCTTATGTTACACTCTGCAGTGAGCATACAGAATTGTCCATACCACAAGGCATACAGAATAAAAATACACTCACATGTAATCCTTCATTTGGATCCATATTACATGTACTTACATTCAAAGCATCAGGCAAAAATCTGACACTGTTGCATTGCATTTCCAGTTTTACACAAATAAAAGCACAGAAACTTATGAAACGCTGTGGCACACTAGTTGATGAATGGAAGTCATGATGAGTATATCTAGGTCTTTGTAAATAAACATGAGATCAGCTTGTGCATGTCATAGTCTTGCATTATTATGGTCACTAGAATAACATTTATGCTTCTAATTTGGCTGCAGGCTGATGTTAGGAATATTGAAAGTAGAGTCTGTAAATTTATAGCAGTGCTCAAAATAGAGCTGAGAATTTATGCCTTTCACTGGTAATTATCCACTTGTTAATTCTTTCAAATCTTGTCCATCAAATCTTGTCCATCAAATCTTGTCCATCAAATCTTGTCCATCAAATCTTGTCCATGGCATCTTTATTTCAGTCGTTTCTCTTTCGTTTTATCGCAGATGACAAAGTTTGACGCATTGAGAGGACCCCCATAGATACAGCATGCATGGAGATCCAAAATTCATCTAAGCCACTCACAATTTGAGACAATGAAGAGACAGAAACAAAATTAGATTCTTTGGTAATTGGAAACTAAAGCAGATTTGAGGGTTTTTTTTCATTTTTCCCCATTGTTTTGTTCGTTTTTAGTGCAATAAACAATGGATTTTGTGTAATCAAAGTACATGTCATGAAATCCAAATTGTAGGCTGATGTGGTTTTTACTTTAACTTGATAGAACTTGTCATTAAAGTGTTTGGGAGAAGAGTTTTATTTACCTGTTTTGTGCAGGTGATTTTTTTCTTTTACATGGAAGAAACAACGGAATGACATGCAAATCTTTACTAACATTAATGCACATAACTCAGGTCGTTATAGTCCTGATGTAATATGAATGTGCATAAACTTGAACAACTGTTGGCCACATGTGCATTGTACAAGGTGTAAGAGTTGATATCTTAAACCCTGTGAATTCCATACATGAAAGATATCATCCCAATGGCAACAGTGGTACAGATTGCGTAAGTATTGACAGCTATTGTCTTAGTGTACCAAGCCTCTACTCTAAGACTTTATAGAGACAGTATTCTATCCTCCACATACAAGTCAATTGACTATTTGCTGCTATATACCATGTTTCTGATTTTAGAAAACTACTTCAGCACTCAAACCATCAGTTAAATTAAAAACCAGTGAATTTCAGATTAACCGGAAATTACTTCAGAATGAGAACTTGTTCAGTAAAGCATTGTCAAAACTGATGTAACATGTCTGCAGGTTAAAATAACATGTCAATGCCAGGGCACTGTCTGAGGTGAGATTGCTTTGTCCCTTTCCCCTTCCAATGTAAAAGGTTTTAAAACAATGGTAAATACATGTAATTGTTCAGTCCATGCTGGAGCTGTGTTTCCATGTAGTTCAAGTATCTTTTAAATGACAGGAGAAAAGCACAAGATGTTTTTCATTTATATTGTTAAGTTGTTAGTCTAAGCATTTGTTTTTGCATACAAATGTAGTTTTTACTTTCCATTTCTAATCATTCTTTCCTTGTTTTATTTCTCTGAATTTTTTTTGGGGGGGTGGTTGAATTATAAATTCAGTATGCCATTTGTAAACCCTCATGGCTTGGAAAGTATCACAGTGTCCTAGAATTTTGCTTTATGTAACTGGAAAGTAATAGTTGCAGTTAATTCGATTGGACAAACATATATAGAAGGTTGTAGAACTGTATATTTTGTGAAGGAATGCAGATAAATTCTGATGATCCAATCTTGTCAGTATCTTGATATTGTAAATATATGTACATATAAACAGAGATATACATGTACACAGATGAGCTCATGAAGAATTCAGTAAATGTAGATTTGTCTTGTGCCATGATAATATATTGTATTTCATAGCTGATCCAATAGCCACAATGCACTACTGGGCCTAAACCGGATCCAGACCCAAATTGGGGGGTGAGGTGGCCAAGACAAGTTAGTAACATCCCAGATGTACTTCTGCATTAACCCATTGCATCAATCTCAATGAAGCAGCTGCACAGAAACAATTACCTGAACAAAATGGCTCTGTCCATGCAGAACAACCTCCATCTTCACTCTGATTAAAAAAAAAATCTTGATTGTGGGGGGAGGGGGGCATGCTCCCATTGGCCTCCTCCCCTGGATCTGCCCTTGTGATGGGTTGAACTTCATTAGCACATAATACCTTTCTTCCTGTACATGTAAGTAGAAGGTTTTGTGGACGTTGTTTTCTTGGCAAATGTTTATAATTGATGAATAAGAAGCACATGGAGAACAGTGCGAAAAGAAACTGAAGTGTTTCCCTCAGCAAGTTGTTGGAAATAATTTTAAAAGAAATGATACTTTAAATTACTTTTGCATGATTCTTTCATAATTCCATTACTAATTTTACCGAAAATGGGTCACTTGGGAGACATTCTCACAGGAACGTGCACAAAATTTTTCAAACTTTACCGTCCCATAATTCAATATTCCCTAATCCGAGCTTAAGCAAACTTTGCGTGTTTTCCTTTCAGACCCTAATCTATCATCTCTCAAAATGTGGACAGCCAAAAGTTTCCTCCTTTTGGTAGTTGGAGCATCAGGGAGACACTGAAATGTCTCCCTAATGTTGAAAAATTTACCACAAAATGTCTCCTAAGTGACCTATTTGGGAATATTTTAAATACAACAAATTACATTGTGCTCTGTATTAATTACATTCTTTTCAACTGGAGTTGGCTCGAACGGTTACATTTATGTACATGAGAACATTATCCATTTCATTTTGTGGATAGGATTGTGTGAAGTGAATATATTCAAACCATTTTTTCTTTTAAATGTCTTTATTTTCTTATAAATCATGCATTTTTTAAATTTTCAGGTTTTTGAGTCACAGAGAAAATACTTCCAGATGTCATGTCATTGTCAATGCATTGTCACAGATAATTTCTGAACATTTAACAAATGCAACAGATATTTGGTTTTACAAAAGCTTTCTGAAGTATCCTGCCTTCCCCCTCCCCCAGAAAAGCCTCACTCCACTCCAAATAGCTCCACCATTAATCTCATGCACAACCCCCCCAAAATGTATGACTATGTTAGTTGAATGTAGTCTGGATTTGCAGTAGATTCTAGAATCACACTGCAAGTAGAGCCACTCGATGGAAGAAAAATTGTGAAATCCATTACTTTGATTTGACGGTTGAGCATTGTGCTAATAAGTGATATGTGCGTATTGTAATACGCGGTTTAAAGCCATGTTTATTATAGCTTAGTGTTTTGACACTAAATTAACTTTTACACTATTGAGGGTGTTGGTTATAATTCATTTTTCTGTATCACATAGAAAAGAATGCAATGGAGGTTAATAGTGTCAGGGATGTAGCAGCTTATCTGTTCAGTCTTGTTACTGGAAACTGTATCAAATAACAGTGCTGCAGTGTTGAAACTAGGCATAATGGGGAATAAATCAGATCTGAGGTTGACAATGTCAGATGACTTTCAGTTTACTTCTAACACTGCCCAGTTTTACCAGTTTAGTTTTCATTACATTGAGTAGATCAAGGATGAGATCTCCTTGGGGCTGAACAACAAAGAGCTATATCTAGAGTCGCACTGGATGATTTGCATTTTATGTATTTTGCTCATCTTGCTGAATACTGTACTGTAAGGACACACTATTTTGCAAACAAAATTGCACACTGTCAACTATTAAAAGCATTCATCTTGAAATATGTATCAACATCACTACAGCAGGGAACCATAAAAGCCCATCTAACACTTAGCATGTGTAGATTGTGATTGTGTGTCAACAAACAGCATGGTACATGGAATATTTACTGCATATTTGTTTGTTGCAGTGTCCTATTTTAACTTGGAATAAGATATTTAGAAAAGTTTACTGTCTTTTCTTGATAATCATGCGGGTCTTTTCAGTGACAACTGCAGGCCTGATTCCAACACTATGAAGCATTTGAGTAAAATGCCCGAATTGATATGACTGACATTGTTAGCCTGGACAGGAATCCAAAGTAAGTCAAGCTAACTTTGATACCCAGTTCTTTTTTTAAGAGTAAACAGTATTCAAGATAAGACAGATAGAGGTGATACAAGAATAGAATTGTGAAACTAGATAAACAATTCCATTTTTTGTATACCATAGCATCATAGGTTAGACTTGGCTCCAGCTACTTTAAGTAATTCAGCTATCTGTATCAATGTTGCGCATGTTTGCTGTTAGATTATCAATGTGAAATACAAAGTAAGTTGAGATCATTCTGATTAAACTTAATTAAAATAACTTGTCAACATCAGTTACCATTTGTTTATTTTACAGTTTAAATTTTCCAATCAATTACAGAAAAATTCTTGCAATTCTTAAAAGCAGAGCTAAATGTCTTACATCTTTTCGTAAATCAAAGATGACTATTCCTAGAAAAATTAAACATACAACCATCTCGTAAGGACTGCTCATATTTTTGCATTATGTTCTCACAAGCCTTAGATTTTGCTTTTGGCAGTTTTTCAGATTAGAATTTGTCATTACAGGGTGTGTTTGACTGCTTTGTATCCACTTTGTAAAGTGTACTTTGTCAGCTTCCCCTCCAAATAGATATACCATGACTGCATCCAGTACTCGCAAACAACTGAAAACCACTGATTCCAAACTCACACTAACCAGACCTCTAAAACTGGCCTAATTTAGCAGGTAAAACTATCAAAAAATACACTAGGTGTCTGTTTGTGAATGGCAAGGCAAGTACTTGCACAGGAAAGCTGATTACATACTTTTTCAAATGTACATGTAGTTTTTAATTGTGGGTTTTGCCTTTAATATCAACGAACATTCATAAAACGACAAGCTCAGTGTATAAGAGTGATTACAAGCTATACTCAGGTGGGACTTAGACCCATGACTTCCTGCTTACTAGTTCAGACATCTTAACAACTTGACCATCAAGCTTGTTTAGGTTGGCTGGTCAGATGTAGCAGTGGGTATCACAAAATATTAAATAAAATATACTCTGCATCAGGGAAATGCCAATTTCTAATTATGGCTTTCGCTCTTACACAAACGAATAGTCATAACACTGTGTGCTTTAAAATGTAATCCCTGACAAATTTCGAGTTCAAAATTTTAACTACTATATCGCTCTCCATTGCCTATTAAATTACACCCTGTGAATGATATGTGTCACTTCCCAATTGTACGTGCATGTTGGACTACATGAATGTCTGGAATTATCCACAATATCTGTACACATATGATGCACCATTTGCATAGCATAAGCCAAGTCACTTCCAGAAATAGACCTTAACCACTTGCTGCTTGGGAACCCTGTTTCGATCACCATGGGTTTATACGCAGAGCCGGTGTGCCCGAAATGGGACAAAAGAGCTGGTCCATGTAACAAAAGACAGTACTCAGAACAAAAGACCTGCTGCCGGGAATTGCCATCATTTTTCGGCTTGCATTTTTTAAAGGTAATCTATCACTTTTTAAACAGTATACCACTGTTTTGGGCATGCACCACGGACAAAAGTGCTCCAGGGCCCCACTGATGAGCGACACAGCACCGCTGCATGCTAATCCAGCCGCATTTGAAAAGACGCCACTCGCATTCACTGGGAACAAAGGAAATTACACAACACCTCACAATTCTGGGCTCTCTTTACAGAGCGGCAGGCCTGGTTGAAATACTCAATGAGTCAATGAAGGTTGCCTGTCAGCTTAGAGTAGCCACCAAACAGTCAAACAGTTTGGGTGTAAACGTCCATTGAATGAAATGATGAATTTTTGAAGAATTTTGAAAGCTGAAAGTCTTGAAAGTTTCCCGTTACATGTGCACTGCATTTTTGAAAGCACCAAGCAGCAAGAGGTTAATATACAATGTAAGAGTGCTGGTTAATTTTCAAAGCTGCAAGAAAGGATCCACCTGTTTCAGACAGTGTGCTTTTGTTATTCAATCTAATGAAACTCCATATTAAAAAAGAAATGATAAAAACTTTTCAAGGCAATTATAACATTAGCTATACCATAGACTACAACGAAGCAGTTATGTCAATTGTAAACAGACTGCCCAGAAATTTCAGTCAGAAAGCTACAAATACATAACCCTGACCAAACAATGATCAAATCCAGCACTCTACATTCCATCTAAGGGTTTTTATTACACTAAAGAAAAAAATATGCATGAAAAATTCTGCAGTTTAGTAGACAAACTTTTATTTGACCATACATTGCACAATATGGCTGTTTTTCTAAATCTGCGTCCATTTGGATGGTATACATGTTCTGGCAACTTTAATAATCAATGTTTCCCAAGAGACTCCTATTACACATTTCAAGCACTTTGATGATTTTGAAGTGACCATTTCTACACGTGTTCACAGTCTAAAACAACTCAAACACTTCAACCATTTGTCTAGATATTATATTTCAATTACATGTAGCAATGAAAGTGTTGCTGACTTTGATGCATTTCAGTTCCCCCAAAATGTACATCAAGCTTCACAAACAAAAACAGCATCTTCCAGGTCCTCGGAATATTCTTTGGATGAAATACCTAAAGTACCAAAAGTGGTACACATTTGTTCTATTTGAAAAAGTATAAATGATGGATAAATAAAAGGAAAGTGGAAAAACAAGCAGTTTCATTTTACTCTCTATTCCTTACAAGAGATTGCACAGGTAGGCACTATCCCACACCACATGAATAACAGTCCCAACATTGTAGTGAAAACTTTAATCTGTAGTCGCTGAAAAGAATTTTAATTTGTATAGTCTGGTTTCCATGGCCACATAAAGAGATGCAGAGAGCATCGCCAATCAGTTTCCAATGATACACAATCATATTGAAACACTTTATTGCAACTGATGCCAATAGGGATGGTGACAGTTGAGAAAGTTTACCTTGCTTCAACTTTTCCTACTGTCTGCATTGAGTTGCCAAAGGCTGTGCAAACACACATGCTTGCATGACGGACATACATCAATATCTCTCTCATTTAGTACCACTCGTTTTGACAATTTTCTCCTTATTTCTAGCACATGCATCCCAACTTGTCAACAAAATAGCTGAAAATTAACAAAACACATCAAACTCCAGTATCGATTTGTTTTAAAATCAGGATTAAATTTCACAGAAGTGAAAGTTTGTTTAACTTACAATATCTGCTCTGAAGAGAGGTTTCAGTGATCCTGAACTCTGCAAGATGAATGCTATCTGGAAAGCTGACATATGAAGCTAATATTGTCTACTAAATGCAGTTTCATAAAGTCTGCTTCTGTGAAGCTCCAGCCTATACATATTCTGACTTTCATCACAGCTATGCAACTGGCAAGCCAGGAAAAAAAATGGAAATTCAAACTACTCAATATTTTCTAACTTCAGACACTGGAAGTAAAACTGTTGAAATCAGGGAAACTTGTATGGCTGATCATAGATTTCAACCTGTTGATTGATACTGGGGAGTTTTTGTATCAAATGAATGGTCTTGATTAACTTACAAATGGAAGCACTTCCACTCCCAAATTTCATAGAATGCTAGTCACTTTTTGTGTTACTTACATTTTAATTATAATATGAACAAAAATATCTACACGTGTGTATTTGCCACAGAACTGCTTACTTGAATTACAGGTCCAATATTAAGTGCTATTGGTTTAAGCAATGTTTACCATGAAAGCGCACAAATAAATATTGAAAGTTCTTTCAATCACAAACTACATACTCAAGTCCTATTCTAGGGCACTTCCTTTATCAGATGTGATCATAAGTCTCTGTACTTTCACAACACTTCCGTTGAATGTTACTCAGTGGTATATAATAACTTCATCTTCCTGCCAGCTGGGAATATTTTAGTAATCACTTTGTCAATGAAGCAATCTAAGGGTACAAGCAATAAAGTACCTCAGTTATGTCACCATCAAGAGCAAAACACTGCAAACTAAGAGGCACATGCAAGCAGGAATTTAAATCAATATGGAAAACTGATGATCATTATCTCACATCTTATGATGGAATGAAGAGCCAGCCTACCTCACTTTCAACAAGCTTCCTTTTGGCCATGAGAACCCCTGCCTTTTCCTTGTTCCCAGCTTGTAAGCTCTGCTTAGCTAGGGCAAAGTAGCTGGATAAAGATGCTTGTAGTCTGGCCACATAGGCTGGAAACAATGTATGAAGGAAGGGGATTTGAGAGAGTGCACAAATGTGTACATCTTTCACTTATATTTAATATCTGTAAATATACATGTATGAGGTTCAACGATAGCCAACAAAATTGCAATTATTTCCAAAATTTTAATCAAATTTCAAAAGTCAACTTGTGACAAAACAGCTGAAAATTGAAAGGATGAACACCTAACATGTTCTAAAATGACTTCCTCTGACACAAAAATTTAATTTGAGCATCAACAAAAGGAGAGAGAGATGATATCTTTCATCCTCTGCAGTGTTGAAAAGAACAAGGAATCATCACACACTGTGTAGTGCTCTTTATAATGGCCTTTTTGCCAACAGTCACACAAATTTGCTGACACAAATACAAGGAGGTTATCAACAAAAACAATTAAAAATCAACAACACCCCGGCTAAGTCCCTGATAATCGGCACAGTTTCATCAGTGTCTGTCAGTGTCCATCTACTAAAACATAACAGGCAAAATAATATAAGATAGGCAAGTAGGCACTGAATATTTAGGATAATTTTGATACCTTGCCTGGCTTGTTTTCCACCCTCCTTCAGGAACAACTGCAGCTTGTGCATCCTGTCTGACAGTATCTTTTGCTGTTCGTTCAATTCTTTAGGAATACTCCTTCTTTGTGCCTGAAATTCTGCCAGCTAAATCATACAAGAAGGTTGGCAAATCAACATAGATATACATAACATACATGTATCTTAACCCAATAGTACTCAAACCTCCAATTTAGCCCTCTTTCAAGTTAGGGTTAAAAAGTAAAAACCTTTGAATGAAAATGTAACAGCTATTATCCAAGATTACAGAACTACATTAGATACTACGCTCCAGGCTGAAATACCTTTTTCTTGAGTGTCTCTAGCTCCCAGTTCAATACAGCTAAACTATCAGCAGGCTGCACATTCCTAAACAAAGTTAAAATGAGCTAAATTCAGAAAATAGGAATTAATTACATTAAATGTACATTAAATCCTGTTTTCCCTCTCCAAAACTGCCCCATCTTGTGTCAAAATGTCTCTTTTTTACTTGTTCAGTTGAGGCCATACCCAAACTTTTCAACGCTATAAACATTAATGTTATGTACTCATCTTTGTCACAGTATGGATGCTACCAGTATTTATGAAATAAAAACAAACTGCTTTTAAAATAAATGTTACGTGGTACATATGTTACACAGGTGACTGGGCTGCAAATCAAACAACAAATTACAACTTACTTTTGTGATGGGTTTGCTGCTGTATTACCCTGAGGAGAAAAGTTATTCATAATCACAAATGTAGCTGATTCATGTTTCAAGTTAGGATACCTGACTTTCACATACCCTGTGTCCATCACTGATGGTAATGTCTCCCGCTTACCTGTACACATTGACAAAGCGCTGATGTGTGTCTATTAACTTCAGTTTAACAAGTATTTTTGATAAAAATATTACTGATTCCTCAAAAATCCCCCATAAAGCAGAAACCAATGGCACATTCATTCCTTCTATTTCCTAAGGTGAATCAACATAGCTCTACCTTCTACAGCCCTGCAAAATTTTCAACCTCTCCAGGTAATTTTCTCTGGGTGTTAGCTACTCACTCAAAGATCCATCTACCCAGACGAACACCAGCACAATGCTCCATGACCTGACAATCATGCCAAGCACCACTGTGATCAAGATGCTACTTACACCAGTAAACACTAGGTTTATCCAAGGCATATATTGGGCATAATACCCAGCACTGCTTACAGACAAACAACTCACCAAAACTATAAATATTCATATCCTAATACACTGATATTGTAAAGACACTGTTTTCTTGGAATATGTTTGACACTTAAACTTAAAAAGTTAACTTACATGAGGAGTTGGTTGCTTTGAAGGACTACTGAGACTTGAGCTTGATGTAGGAACCTACAGGAATAAAAGACAATCTCTGATTATTACATTATTCAAATATTAATTACTTCCATGAATAAACATGAGTTATAATCAAATCATCAATCCTTCAGTCAAGTAAAGTGCTGTTCAAAACATTTATCATCTCATAACTTGTGACATTACCTGTAACTGACTCAATTACAATTCTGGTGTAGCAACCTCGTTCAGTTTCGTCAAAAATTATTTCTCTCACTGGCTTGCACAGTTTCTAACGAGGATAGCTTTATAAATAAACACTGTTTTAACCCTAGAAGAACCTGGGGGATACGTCCTCCCTCAAGATTTTTTCTGAGAGTGCCACAGTGATTTTTTTCAGGAGCTGAGCCTGAAGGAAATTTTTGGGCAACACGTTGGCACCAGTTTTGTGACACTACAGTGTGCTATGACTTCTCCAGTAAACTTGCACCTAAGACACCACTATGTGCTATGAATTCACCACAAAAGCTGGTACCTGAGACACCACTATGTGCTATGAATTCACCTCAAAAGCTGGTACCTGAGACACCACTATGTGCTATGAATTCACCTCAAAAGCTGGTACCTGAGACACCACTATGTGCTATGAATTCACCTCAAAAGCTGGTACCTGAGACACCACAGTGTGCTATGAATCCACCAGTGAATGCTGTACCTGAGACACCACTGTGTGCTAGGAATCCACCAGTGAAAGCTGGTACCTGAGACACTATTGTGTGCTGCGAATCCACCAGTGAAAGCTGGTACCTG